TTTTTCTTTCTATTTTATACTCATTTTCAATTAAATACTTCAATTCCCAATAAAACATCTTTTCTAGAATGGAGGAGATTATTTGATTTTATATTTTGTTAAAGAAATATAGATATAATGTTCTTCAAAAAATTAATAGTCCAAAATAAATAAAAATTGATTGTGTTAAATCCATGATACACACATCTCACGCCACTGTGCTTCCGGTGCTATCATTAATAGAGTTTATATTGTCTTTTATTTACAAATAATACTAATTAATAGTCCAGCTGTGATGGTGGATATGATTCGCCACGTCACATTTATGACCATTCAAAGCCTTCAATCGATCCTTGCTATTCGGCCCGGTTCTGTATCCGGCTGTGCCAAATTTTATTTTATACATTATCTTTGTTTTATTTTTATTTTTTTTATATTTTAAATTGTGCTTATTTAATGATTATTTTTATTTATTATTATTGAATATTATGACTTTATTATTTGAATTTAAAAATAAAAATAAAAAAATCACTAGCATATACTTTTATAGTTATTGATAAAAAAAAATGGTGATAAATTTAATAATTGTTTTATTTTAAAACTAAAATTAAAAATCTATGAGTTTGTTTGTTAATTGTTTAATTTGAAGTATTTTTTTAATATAAGAATTATCGGTAATATGAAAGTAAATTAAAATTGTATTTCATTCGTTCTTTAATGAGTGTACATTTTGAAATTTTATACTCCATCCGTGCCAGATACCGTGTCTGCTACACTGTAGATACGGTATTTTAGGAGGGGTGTAATTAGTAGATAATTAAAAATGTATTAGTCAAAATAATTATCCTTTAATATAAATAATTATAAATTAAGATTAAGATAATTAATTAGTTGAATTAAAATTAAAAAAAATTTAAAAATTTAAAATAAGATTAAAGTGTGTAATTATTTTTCAAAAAAGAAAAGTGATATGATATGTGGGACAAACGGAAACGGCAACGTGGACATGATATCTGGGACGGAGGGAGTAGTAGATTAAAAAATAATACTTTATTTGTCATTTGTCAATGTATTTATTTGTCTTTTATGGTCAATTTCATCATTTAATAATTTATTTATTTTTTCATTTTGATTTGTCCTGTAACAAAATATCAATTTCTTTTTTAGTAATTATACTATCTACCTAACATTACAAATATCATTTCAATTTACAATATATTACACAAATATCGTTACTTTTATATCATGCAATAGTAACAAGGTTAATTTAATCTTTTTTTTCTTTATTTATACTTTATCTCAATATAATATTAATATTTTTAAAATTTTGTATAAAAAATAAATAGGTATATAGATATGAAACGAAGTGACTATCATTGTAATTAATATTAAAATAAAGACGAAAGTATATATTTAATAAAAAAAATAATTAGACAAATAAATCCTATACGACGAGTAGGCCCGGATTAGACATCGGGTCGGAGTGTATGGTCACTAGACGTGGCGGATCTGACGGAATTAATATAATTATTTTTTATTTAAATGGTGGGGTCAAAATTATCCACCTGGCGTTTAAACTTCTATATTATTTATTTTCAATATAATACTAAATGTGGTAGTGACGTTAGGATTTCATTTATTTATTTAAATTTAAAAAATAAAACGATAACTCACATGACAGGTGACGCGATGCACTCAAATGACCAATCCATGGCCGGTTTTAAATATCACTCATATTTTGCTAATAGAACCATTTTCTGTTCCCATCGTTAAATTTTTTATTTAATTTTTGTATGCAAATTAAAATAAATTAGTATTTTAAAACTATTCTTATTTTTGTATAAATATTTTTCTGTTAGTATTATAAAACACTAATGAAATTATTTTTACGATTTTTTTTTTAAATTTGTACTATATTTTAATATAATAATTAATATTTAAAAATCAACACACAAAAAATAAATAAGATCGTTAGAACCGAACGAAGATAATATAATATTTATTTTATATTAATGTAAAAAATAAAAAGTATTAGTATTTTAGTATTTAATTGATAACTATTTTTATTCAAAAAAAAAAAAATACGAAATTTTAATTTGAAGAGACTAAAATGGTAAATAGAAAGTCTATTCTTAGACTGAGGGTCTGGATCTTACATGCTACACATAATTTGTTTAATGTGATTTGTCTTGTCGGAAGTTTAGTCAGTAATTTATCCAATAGTAACTACTGCGGTTTTTACACCATAAAAAATTCAATTAAATTTTAATGAGAAAATAATACTATAACTTGATATTCAAAATAAATATGAAGATTTGAATATGATTTTTTAAAGAAAAAAAAAACTAAGATAAATTTTAAAGACATAAATCGACAAACTATTATGTATTATTCGATGAGTCATATTAATTTATTGATTTATGAGTATAATTATAGGGTGGAGCATTGTGATTTATTTAATATATAACATTAGGCCACTAGGAATATTTAATAGATAAATTTAATATTGTCACACAATTCTTCATAGGCAAACGTAACTGAGCCTTACAAGATACGTAGTTGGGTTAATTAGGACTTATGCCACGCAATGTCATTGGCGGCCCTTACATTTTCTATTTATTAATTGAAAAGGAAATTGGCCTGTTGAATTATGTCGGTTTTTTTTTGTTTTTTGAAATTAAATTAAAATTATTTATTTTTTGTATTATTTTTAATAAAAATATATTATTTTCTTTTGCAATTTATCGCTATGTAAACAAAAATTCAAATCAAAATTTTATTTCAAATTAAGTTTAGATTACAATAAACAAACTCAAGTATTTGCTTATAAGGTTTTTACTATTTAGATACTTCTTTCGTCCTTTAATAATTTATCAATTTTTTCATTTTGGTCCGTCCTATGATAAAGTATCTTTTTTTATTTTTTTATTTTTAGTAATTGTATAATTTACTTAATATTACAAATACCCTTTAAATTTACAATATATTACACAAATGTTATTACATTTATATCATACAATACTAATAGGGTTAATTTAGTATTTTTATCTTTATTTCTACTTTATTCCAATATAATACTAATATTTTTAAAACTTCGTGTAAAAAGCAAATGAATATATAAATATGAGACTGAGGAAGTATTTTTTTTCAAACAAATTAAATTAATTAATAATTTTTATTTTTATATTATATTTAAAAATTGAATTAAATTTATTATTTTTTTTTAAAAATAATTTATTAATATTCATTTATATAATGTCAAATAATTATTATAATTAAAAAATTTATTATTTAAAATTTAAACATAAACATGTGACTCCACAAACTTACACTCTTGACCTTATGTTGTGCCTTATATAAATTTTAAAGTATTTTCTAAAGCTTCTTGAGATTAAAAAAATATACTTTGTGTGATATAAATAACTATTGAAAAAGAATATTTTAAATAAAAAATTAATTTTTGACATAATATTTTTAATGGAAAAAATATTTGTAATATATACTCCATATCTTTTGAAAAAGTATTATAATACTCAATACCAAAAATAATTTGAAAAATATGTAAATAGAGTCTTAAACAATTTTCAATAAATGTTGGAATTTTAAAAATATAAATATATATTGAAGCTATATTCTAAATTTTTATTTAAATATAATGTTTGTTTTAAATTTTAAAATATATTTATTTATATAATACTATGCAAAAAAATAAAAATAAATAAAAAAATATATATAGAAAGACACCGGAGATTGATTATTTAATCAATTATGGTAACCTGTTTTTTGTAATTTTGTTATAATGGGCTAAATAGTGATTATTACCGAGACGTTCATTTGTAGATAATGAAAGTGTAGAAAAATGATAATAAAATAGTAGTAAAAATAAATTTAGTAGACAATGAGAATGAATTCTTTTATTCAGTAAAATAAAGAATTTAGTTTTTAATATAAAAGAAAACTAGAACGCATAAAAAAATAACTATATTGTTAGTTGAAAAAAATAAATCGATTACTAAAAAAATGATAAATTATATAAGAAAAATATTATTATATTTTTTAGTTATAGTTTTAGTTTGATGAGTAATTTATGTTAATAATAATTTAGATATGATATTTTATGAAATTTGAATAATAAAAAATTATAAAATAAGAAAAAAAACTCAGGTTTTTTTTTTAAAAAAAATTCTTTAACATATTTTTCAAAAAATTTAATATATTATACAATAATTATTTTTATATTACTATAGATTTCTATACTTCAAATCATTTTTGTTTCTTAAAACCAAAACACAAACAAACCCTTCTATATTTACATAAATTATACTATTTTCGTCCAATAATGTATTTACTGGTTGTTTAAAGTTTTAAATATTTTTATTTTGAAATATGTAAAGTTACAAAAACATTGCAGATATTTTGTATATTTTTGTTGATTTTTATTAATATATAATATATATTATATATTATATATTTCCTCTGTCCACAACCTAAGTGTCCAATTTTTCGATTTGGGACGTTCAATAACTATTGTCCTATTTTTTTTTTAAATACAAATTTTACATTCTTACCCTTCATTCATTTGTTACTTTTAATCTCTACTATATAATTAGGCAAATTTGTCAATACATAACAAAAACACAATCAACTAAAAAACCGTGCAAATATACTTTAGGATAATAAAAATTGGATAGAGAGAATATTATATTTTTAAAAATACTTTCAAAGAATCCCGTAGAAATAAAATGACGAACGGAAGGACTAATTTTTTACATATTCTTCAAATGATATAATTTTAAATATTTTATATTTACTTTTTATTCAATAAATTTTACAAATTATATTTAAAACGGTAATAATAAAATATTAAAAATTTAAGATTATTTCAACTTAAAAATAGAAGAAGAAAAAATTTAAAATGCTTAAATGCATTTATACATTTTTACATGAGTACGAGACTATGAGAGTGTCTAAACATAAACAATACTCATAAATGACATGATCTCCAGACTTCTTATTTTCTGTTTTTTTTTAGTATTTTTAAATTTTTTTTTATTACAATACAATCTTCATACATATAAAAGAAAAAAAATACACTATTATGATATATAAATATAACGTTAAATTACTATATATACACAAAAAAATAAATACGAATATATCTTACCATTTGATTTACAAGAATTTAGCTGCAATTTTTAATTACTCGTTGCTCTATCTGTGTTTTTGTACACTTGACAAAGCTCTGGAATCCAGATTGTATATCCTATTCGGTTTCGATTTGTCGAAAAGGGTCGATCCAACATGCGTCTTCCTCGACCGCTCGTTTCCACCTATTCGCAAAGCTCCTCATTTCCGCGTAGGATCTTTGTCGAATCTGCATCGATAGAGAAATAATGCCCAAGCAATTCTTAGTACTAATGTGTCTAAAATCCCACATTTTTTTGGGTGCATCGACATTGCGAAGGTGGCAGGAACTTACAGCTTGTCTGTTGTCAGAATCAGACAATACTGAGGTCGAGGTCGAGGTCACCATCTGTATGGTTTAAGACCAAAGTTATTAAGTCAAGAGTTGTGTAAGGTGCCTATGCAATATTCGCATCAAGAATTTATACCGATGATTCTGATTCTGGTTCTGATTTCGATTCTAATTTTGAATTTGACGAGTTTTTTGCAAGTCCCGATAGGCTACTCAAGTCGGGATTCATCTGCTTCGATTACAAAGAATTAATGACAAATGACCATATATACACGCATGTATTTGCATGAGCACGTATATATACGAGAGGGGCGATAGTTAAGTACCGTGTTATGAGTGCCGAGGGTCGGGAGGCCGAGATGGGATATGTATTCCGCGTCAACTATGCCAACCTTCACGGCTCGATCACCCTGTATATATATATAAATTTTTTAAATAACTGTTTCACTTAAAAATTTAAATTTATAGGAATACATATTATTTATCTATTTACATATTACGGAGTAAATAAAAATTCGTAACGAGAACTTGCCTGCGCGCAATAGCCGAGCTGCATATCGAGGCCCCAGGCATGGATCAAGTCGTTCTGCGGAGAACATAAGTTAGTCTTCGCGCAACAACGGGAAAACACAAATGCAAACAAACAAACATTCGTCGTAAATGTCGACTACCTGAATCATGTGCCAAGTACATCGCCACGCCGCTCTCGAGAACACCGGAGCCATCATTTCGACCCATCTGTTAACACATTTTCGTTTCACTCATCGTCGATCTTTTTTCTTCGGATATTAGAGATCGAACATTACTTACCCCGCGCACGGAGGGGCTGTGCTGTTCCCTTCGCACCTTCCGGCTCGGTAGTATCGCCTGTGCACGCGTATTCTCCGGTTGCGGACGGTGATTCGATGATGGACCTTCGATTTTCCGGGATCGAGCGCAGGCTGCGAAATTTCGAGGCCTTCTTCCCTGATGATCGATAAGTACCTTCCGGGGCGAAAGTTTTCGACTCCCAAATCCTCGTCCCAAAGGAACACATACTCGTATTCGGCGACAAGATCCGGATGCAGAAATCGCTTGGCAAACCACCTGCACCGTTTGGCGAAAGCATCATAGTCGGCGTATAGTAAAATTTTGAATTGAAATAGTTATTTGATGTGATGTTTTGAATGTAAAATAGGTGTTTGATTTGATGTTTTTGAAGGAAAAAAAAAAAAAGTTGGAATAGTAAAATCTAAAATCAAATCTCACAAGTAAACACAGCATGCAGTGTTTTTCGACGTACCATTTCGTTTGGTTCATCGCAGATACATGAACGGCGCGGTCGCTCCATTCCAAGTCGCGCCACCGATCGACGATGCCGTCGTAGTGAAAAATCATCACCACAAAATCATTGTCGAAAAACTGCCGTGCAAAAGCCATCGTATGTAAGAAGCATTTTCGAGCGCATCTACATGTATATATAACGTATATCGATGTGTAGAGTACCTTACGAACTATCTCGTTCACGAGGTTTTTTTGCTTGATCCCGGCAGCTAAGGCCAGCAAACTTTTCGCTTTTACCGAATTCTCCTATCGAAAGAAAGACATCGTCGTAGTAAATAAAAACAAACTCGAAAAAAAAAAAAAAAAACGGTCCGTAAGAACAGAGCATTGTCGACACACATTATCGAAGACACGCCCCGACAAAGAAATCATTTCCAAGTTTGAAGTTGCGGAAACAATTCCTCTCGGCAAGGTTTCGCTCCCGACAGGTCTGCATTTGTCCTAACGACAAAATGAAGAACTTTAGTTGTCAAGATAATCGATGTTAGAACTTTAGCTTCGCGAAAGAGTAGGCAGAAACATCGACAAACCTTGCATTTATCGACATGAGGCCTCGTTCGAGATTGATTCAACACCTTCGATACCTAAACCCGAACAAATCGAGTTAGCATTCGGTGCATTGACGCCAATCCTCAGCGTAAACAACATTTTAACTAAAACACAACGAGGTAAGGATATCCGAAAGCATGTCCGAGACGGCGTTTTTTAGTTCCGGTGGCGCGTGTAGTAATTATGTACCATGTAAGAATCTTTCCCGAGCCACGCGCCCCCAAAAATGTAGGCGTAACAGATAAAAGCCGTGGCGACGACGAGGCTACATAGGCAGGCTCGGCTGGCCCGAGAAACCTCAAACATAGTAGCTTTCATTGCCGGGAAAATTTGAATTTTGGCGCCAATTCAAGTTGATCGCCGATCATGAGAAGAAATCTTGAGATCAAAATGATGAATTAGGCAATTGTTACTCAGCCATAAAATAAATAAAATAAATAAATAAAAGGCTAATTTCACATTAAAAAAAAAAAAAAAAAAAAAAAACCTAGTTTTTAATTTTAATTTTTTACCTGTTTTAAAAATTCTTTACTACTACATAATACTTCCAAAAGCATATCTAAAGGTTTGTGAGAACACCATGATATCGAGCAGTTAACTATCAGAATTTGAATCTGAATCAGAAATTCAACAGAGTGTAATCAATAAGAGCAAAGTATGGATTGAATCAATCATTAAAACAGTAATAAAATGTTAACAGAATCAAATAAACCTCAATCTTCCCCAACTGAAAACGAACTCTCAAAATATTTGCACAGGCATAACATACATAGAGACTGGTGTGAAATTTCAAGATTATACGTATATAATAGATACAGAAAAAATCTCTTACAGAAGAGTCGTCGAAAGTTCTTACAGAACAGAAACGAGAAGAAGAGCTGTGGAAAGGCGTCTGTGTTCCTTTCCGATCAGCTGTAGTGCTTTTTGGAATATTCGACGAATTAATTAATTAATTAAATACAAATTGAAAGATAAAGATAAAATAAGTACATACAATTCCAATACGCCAGCAAAAATGGAACTTTCCTCACCACTCACCCACTCATCTTCGTTTAGAAAATTCTCAAACGTGTAAAAAGTTTCATATTTAATTTTATATTTTATAAATAAGTTAAATATTTAATATAATATTAAAAATAAATAAATTATTATTGATGTATAATTTCGATCATATATCGTAACCATTCCTATATAATACATAACTACATACATAGAGAGTAAACTTGTTATCACATATATGTGTCAGCGGACTTTTAATTGTAAATAAATAAATAAATAAATGATATGTATTTTTAATGAAAGTGTACTATTATAATGATATGCAATAGTACTACAAAATAATATATTATATATATCATTAATATAATATAAATGTAAGACTTGAACTAATAATACATATACAGTTTCACACGGCACATGCAATAATTAATTCAAACGGATAATATATTTCTATACAAGGCTTATAACAACAAATGCATGTCTTTATTTCACATAGCATAGATAACATGTATTGTTTGAAACAAGGACATGAGATGTGTGTATTGGTGCGTATTGGAAAATTTTTTCCAGATGAGCACTGCAACTCTTCCATTTATGTATGCTTTTTGTTTAATTACTATTATTATGTACTTTTTCCATTCGAAATAATTATATCACTTTTTATTTTTTGTCGCAGGCTAAATTTATGCATAATTATTTACGGTAAACAATTTTTATTAGTTTTACTTTAATAAATAATAGCTAATTTATTATTATTATCTTATACTTATCTCGTTGCTTTATTATTAAAATTTTATATGATATCTTCATTTAATTTTTTGCATATTTTATTTTTATATTAAAATGTTTTCTAAAATTTTCTTTGCCGTGCCGAGACGTGGTCATGTTGTCCATGCCACGTGGATGCGCGTGGGACCCGCAATTGGTGAAGAAATTGCTCTGTCTCTGTATTTTCTAGTCAAATTTTGCATTAATTCGTTGGTTTTGGGTGGACGTGGAAATGGAGCAGGGAGGTGTTTTCTTGACAGGTCCCGGGATCTCGGGTCCCGAATGAATCTTGACGTTGTCATTGGTGTGGATTATGAGGGAGTTATGGAACCTGGAGTTTCTTAAAATTAAGCAGCACCGCCGTATTCTATATATACGGACTTTTCTGCATATTTTATTCCACGGATATATATATATATCTGTAAATAATACTTATTGGGCCCGATAATTTGTTTTTATTTTATATTTTCATCTCACGTAATTTATCCTTTTTTATTTTAGAAAATTAATTATACACTTTAATCATATTTTAAATTTTAAAATTTAATTTTTTTAATTTTAATTAAATTATTTAATTATTGATCTCATCGGATTTTTATTTTGCGTGAACTGCCAAAGACGTGCGTATTAGTCATATCAATTATTGGATGCAAACTAGTGTGTTTCTGTATCACCGACCTTCCAATTTTTTTCTAATTTGACTATGCATTTTTTCAAAAAAAAAAGACATCAAAAATAAATATTATTTTAATAGCAAACTCAAATACAAATTTTTTACGAAGAAACACACATTAAATAATACTTCATTCGTCCCACATAAAATGTCAATTTTTTTAATTTTTGTTTGTTATTTTTTGTTTGAGAAATATAATTATACATTTTAATCACATTCTTTAAAATTTCATAATTTATAATTTTATCAATCTTAGTTATTTTAATCATCTATAATTATTTTTACGAATATATATATATATATTTAATACTTATTAATTATATTTTATTTAAATTCTCGTATCTACGGTGATATAGACAAAATACATAGAACGAAGTAAATCAATACATACATATGTATGTATATATATATATATCTAAAAATTGCATTTTCAAAAAATAAAAGTACACAAAAAATAAAAAATTATAAGAATTTTCTTCAACTCAATGTCATTAATGGGCTTGATTGGCTGAGATGGTATTTAACATCATTTTTTGTGTTACACAATGTTTTATGATGTTGTGTTTATTTTTTTAATTGCATATTAATTATTTATATTTTTAAATTTTTAAAAATTAATATACTATATTGTAAATATAAAAAAAATAATTTAAAATAATATATAAATTGAAAGATTTGAATAATATATATTTTTTTTAAGTTAAAATTTAGAATTATCCCAAACAATATACCAACCCCTAGCTTAATTTGAAATAATAATTTTAATTAAATACTCCTTATTAAAATAGCAGTTGAAAGACTTGAATATAACACTAGCTTAATTCCATTTTTTAAGTTAGAAATAGGTTGGAGCCCACCCTCTCAAATTTAAGCCATTAATTATGTGATATTTTAAATATAAAATTAATTTTTAATATAATAAAAAATAAATTTTTGATTATTATTATTTTTTTAAAAAAATAGTGAATAATAAAAAAATTCAAAACAACCTAACCAAATCCATAGTTACACTAACAATTTATTGCAAATAATTTTTATTTATATTTTTAAAACTTTAATATTGCTACAAATAATTGGACCAATTGTTCCAAACGTACAAAATTATTTGTATTGTATTCCCTGTATCCACAAAAATTATGCATACAAGAATACTAGAAAATAATATTACTATAATTAAATTTTGCATAAACTTAATGAACAATAATAATAATAAAAGAACATAAATTTAGCCGTACGATAAAAATATTTCTTAATAGTATTTATCAATAGTATAATAAAAAATAATTGAATAAACACATCCTAAATATATAAAAATATCTTATTCCATTACCATTACCACATCAGCTAACTAAAAATCAATTAACTTTCACAATATTTTTATTAAAAATTATAAATTTATACAATAAGATTTGATAAAAGAACTCGAAGAAAACAAAATCATTTATTTTGTTGCAATTGAACAAAGATTGAAGTAATTCTAACTTGACTCAACACGAGTTTTAAGAAAATTAGATAAAAATAAAATTTTTTACTATTTTGAATAGAGAATAAGTAGAAAATGTGGTATTTTGTTACTAAAAATGAAATCTACCATAAATTTGAAATGATAAAAAAGAAAAAATGAAAATAAATTTGAATTACGGAAAAAAAAATATTAAAATCGAACCAAAAAAAATAGAATGATTACATTGAGTTTCAAGCTCATATCAATATTATTCATATTAGAAGAATTTTTTTTAGAAAAACTACTCCCACCGTCCAGATACCGTGTCTGTTATACTGTAAACACAGTATTTTAGGAAGAATATAATTAGCAGATAATTAAGAATGTATTAGTGAAAATAATTATTCTATAATATAAATAATTATAAATTAAGATTAAGATAACTAATTAGTTTAATTAAAATTAAAATAAGATTAAAATGTATAATTATTTTTCAAAAAAAATGACGTAATACGTGGGACGTACATAAACGACAACGTAAACATAATATGTAAACATAATATCTGGGTCGGAGGGAATAATAATTAGAGAGACAAAAAACATAATGACAATTTAGGATTTTGGGCTCGAGAAAATAGTGCCATAGACAAACATACAATAGAGAAAGAAGTCAAAAGAATTGGAAAAATGTTAGAACATAGGATAGGATAGGATAAGATAGGATTACCCGAAACTCAAACTGAAACTGAAACTGAAGTTCAAATTCAAGAACCACAATCATCATCCATCATTCAAGCAAGAGCTAATTAAAATCCCCTACAAATTGCAATAATAATAAATTCGTCCACAAATCCAGACAACTCCCAAATTCCGCCAAACCTACCTTAAGATGATGTTCGAATCTCGATCGAAAATTCTCACTACATCGGAAGATCGATGCATAAAATCAATCCTTGAGCATAAAATCCGTCGTTGGTTCCGGAAACTCAAATGCGTCGGGAGTAATGAAGGGGACATTTTCCAGCATCATTTGTACTTCGGCCGGGTTCTGCAGTCTCCTTTTCTTCTCCATGTACTCGAACCTCGTAGGGACAACATAAGTTAAGGCGACAAAATCGAGCAATGTAATGAAAATATGAGTACGTTTATTTCTCAAAGATTCATTTCATCATTATATGAAAGGATATTCTTGTCTCCATCCTTTCTCATTCGCACGGTCGATCAGGTTTTGAAGCAAAACCAGCTCTTTACGGATCCACTGCGCCATTTTTGTGTTCGATTGATCAATACATGCGAAGAAAGTTAGCGATTAATAAATAAAAAACGACAACCAATGGAAGCTCATTAAAAACGGCGCGCATACGTGATTCATCCTGTCCTTGTGGATCATTTTCGCCTTCTTATCCAGATAAGCCTATAGAGAAAACAATAGATTCACGTAAGAAGAAAATTGCAGGTTAGTAATGAACAAGAAAAGATAATTTTTCGAGTAAATAGTCATTGGCGCGCAATTTCTGTTAGAGCTACAAAATGTACTTACAACAGTAGGCTTTTCGATCTGACCGGATGTCACTTTTTCTCTGAAACTTTCGCACTCTTCCTGGAACAAATTAGGGGAAGAATGAAGAAAATATCAAAACAAATGTTACAAATTACGATATAAGTTTCTATGCGGAAATCAACGTCTGGTAAAACCTCGACATTAAGAGATTTCACACAAGTAACTAGAATGAATGAAATGTGATCCACGACAAATGTACCGTCTATTCTACGACCATATTGGATAAATCGATTTACCAAATTGCATAAAGTGGATAACACAAAATTTTCGAACCTTGGTGAAATCTTCTTCCGATAAGAAATTGACAGAAGTTTCTTCAGGGATGTCGGAAAATTTAAGGAAAGTCTCGGAGCTGTTTTCACCATTCGGAAGATTTTTGACACCTGAAAGTACAAATAAAATAGAGGATGACGTAAATATGGTTCGCAATGCGAAAGAAACTTCCCAAGAAATTCACAACAATTTAACTAGGCTCTGAAATCAGTAGGCAACGAAAAGTAGAATAAAATCATTAGTTCATCAAAGCATAATCAAATTATCAATCTGTGGGGCTAACCTGTGATCTGCATAAGATGAAAAATATGTTTCGACCGACGTTCCTGAGGATTTGAAATGACACGTACAAAGCATCCGACAGCTTTTTCTTCAAACGACTCGGGCTGCTTGAGTAGTTCATGCACCAAGCCTTTCTTCAAGTAAACGAGCTTTATATTTTCAGGTAAGATGGCTGCATAAGGGCTTCGGTACGACTTTATTTCTTCCTTTTGAATTTTTATCTCGTCATGTCGCTTTCTTTTCTTTTGCTTTTTCGAAGGAACCGATACATCAGAATCATTGTTTTCCGAAATATAATCCTCTTTGTCATCATCCTCCGAGTCTTCTTGATTCTCGGCGAAATGTTCCTCTAGAAGGTCATTGATTCTGTATCGACTCACTGTTCGTCGCTTGAAGAGAGCTTGTAGCGGTCCATCGCAATTTATGTTTCTCTTTTTCTCAGGATTAATGAGCTTGTTCTCTTTAATATAATCGTTGACTATCGTAGCCACGTCATGCTGCGACATTTTCTCATCGGTGCTTTTACCAATCGCTGTAAGAAACTCGAGAAGTCTTTTTGAAGCCCAGCCGACAAACTCTGTTTTACCCGATTTTGCAGCTGCCTTCATTGCAGCAATCCGATTCTCAAATTTATTCTCCATTCTACGATGTTTCTTTTCAGGCTCAGGCTCAGAATCATCATCATCATCGTCATCATATTCATCGTCGTCAGTTGCCACATCTTCCACTTCAACAGAGTCGTCCGAAATATTTTCAGATCGACGATTCTTTCTCACCTTGACCTCATTTAGTGTTGAAAAAACATCATCTGCATCAAATCCTTCATCCCCTTTAACAATATCATAATATTCCTTGTATAGACCCTCGTATGTCTCTCGGTCATTAAAATTAACACTTTCCTACAGAGAAAGAAACAGTTGGGGTGGTATCAAATTAACATAATAAATTGTTTTATGAGAAAATTACAAGCAGTCGATAGTTTGTGCACAACAAACACAGTGTCTGTATGGTCGCTACAAAGAGGAAAATTAGCAACACAAGCATCTGAGGTTGAATTAATCCAATATAATGAAAATAAGATTTTCATAATCTATGGATTTGTATACTAAATGTCTTTTATTAAGTTTTTTACTAATCAATCTCTTGAATTTCCTTTAAAAATAACACATCCAACACTCAATTTCCATATAAAACATCACATTCATAGACCATTTCACTTCAAAAACATGAAAGAACTAAACACAAGCACATAAAGTAAAATTTGTTTAGTTGTGTTTTCAAACATAATGTTTTAACTATTCGTTTATAGTAATTTTTTTTTTGTTTTCTCTTGACAAAAATTATCACCTCTATCATATATTTTTATTCAATATATTACATTAGCAATATTTTGTTTTTCATTCAAGACACTACATTGAACACTTACTTATATCAAGTCAGACATTCATTTTAATTCAAATTTTTACTATTTTTAAAACACACCAAAACACAACCAAAAAAACTCTACGTTTCTTGAATAAACCTTTATAACTTCACTAGAATTTTTTTATCTTATTATCTAGACTTGAACTCACTTTTTATGGTGTTCAACCCACACGATTCTTATTAAATATCACATTAAAGTACTATTTAAACTAAAACGCAAAACAAATTGTAAATTTATCAAAGGTATCAAAGGTTTACATAAATCATACCCCATCAGAGTCGACATCATGATTGTCTTCAATAAGCAAAGCAAGTCTCAAGCATAGAGTGCAGAATCCATACTTCCCTTTAATTTTTGAAAAATTTGAATCAAGATGGCAGCGACGGCACACAGCATTTGGGCAGGTGTAACAGTGAAATGCAGCAGCTCGGCTACACTTGGAGCAAGTATGCCAATCTGAAAAATCACATCATAGAAGTCCAATGTGTTATTGTTAAACAAAAATAATAATAATACAAAAATATACACATAGTTTGGAGATTGAGGCCGGCAAAAATGGATGTTTACGACACACTATTATTATACATAATTAATGAACAACCCCATATGAACAAAAAAGTAGATTCTTTTTTGGGTCAATCATGAAAGTCCTTAATAATAAATGAATGTCGTCTTACCACACGCCCAGTGTTCTTCATTTTCCAAAAATGAATCATCTTTATTCACACATTCTGGATGATAAGATTTCACACAATCCCTGTAAGAGATGCACATTGATTAGTACTACATATGACCAGTAAGAGTACGACAAAACAAAATTAATACTTTAGCATCTAAGGCACGTTGATACGCGTGGATGGATATCTATGTATCTCAAAGGATACTAAAACAAAGACAATCTTTGCGGCGGCATTAACTGGCATATCAAAAAGATAATTCAAGCGCATACATTTATTTGCAACGATCAAAATAGTATATTACACTTCAACAAATAGCTGCCAAATATATAATCGATCGAAAAGTTTAAAGCTTTAGTAAATCTTCAAGAACAAGTAACATTTATTCGATGATCCAATGAAAAAACTCACTCATTCATACTTAAGCAATCCTCGGAAAAGGAAAAAAGAAACACCTTCTGAAAACAGAATTTCATATTCTCTTTTTTCATGATAGCAAAAGATATTTCCTACAATGTATAATGCAAGTACAAAAATAGAAACTATGTTCTTTTGTAATTTAGTTTCAATTCAATCTCAGTAAAAGCACATTATTTCCTTTTACAAAATATGTTGATTATAATCACTAAAACCAAAGTCCAAAAGAGTAAAAACTTCCAAACACAATAATAACATTCACCAAATCATCATCAAGATAAGTAGTCAAAGGAGATCTGTTAGATCTACAAGCCTATAGAATAAGTTTAAAATAATAATGATTAAATAGAAAAAACTGGAAGCCATAGTCGATTAACATAAATTTTTTTTACGGAGAAGTGTAAACAAGAAGAGAAGACAACATGGCCCCGTGAAAGAGAAAGAAAAAAAAGGCAAAAACAAACATCTACAGAAATTTGGTTTAAAAATGTAAAAAAAAAAAAAAAAATCACTTTCACAGTATAAAAAATAAAAATAAAAAATTCACTACTTTTGGGTAAAGTCATACTCAATTCCACCATCGCAACATTGTGTTTTACCTCTATTGTCAAAATGGCGACCTTTAATGGCGGAAATTACTAGAAGGAGAAAGCAAATACCTAAAATATTACCATTTCTTTAAAAATTAAAAATAAAAATTACTTGTAATCACATATGCGAAGGTCGCCGCCGTCCTTGCAAACAAAGCACCAGTTTTCCGATTTTTCCTCCTTGTTAATCGTCACATTTTTCTTCCCCTTATTCTTCGCCGCAGCACCGGAAACTTTGCCCTTCTTCTTCCCCATTCTTACCCTGAAAAAAAAAAAAAAAAAAACACAGACATTTACAAACCCTTTTCTAGAAACACTAATAAAATAAAATCAAGAGGGAATACAGACCGAAACCCCAATTTCCCAAATTCAGAAAGAGAACTAAACAAATTATGAGAGAAACAGGTAGATTCGAGAAGACACAGACACAGAAAATTAGAGAGAGAGAGAAAAGGTGTGATGTGAGACTGTGAGAGTACGTATGCATACGTATATATACATATATATACATACATATGTACGTATGTGTGTATATACTCACCTAAACTCCTGAGGAAGGGCGGAATTCTAATTAGTAAAGTAAAATTAATGAAAAATAGAAAAATAGGTAATGGCGTGGTCCCCACCCAATTGGGGACTAATTTTGATCTGCGGTGGACTTCAGTTTTACTTCCTATTATAAATTATAAAAATTATAGTAATTGGATTGTCTTAATTATATAAGAAAACATATTAATTATTTTCTGATTTTGTTTCTTAATATATAGTTAATGTTTATTTTGTGTTAATTATAGGAATCATATATATATTAACAAATTATTTTATGTTCTAAACAATGATAATTATAATAAATATTTATATCCATAAAATAATTATTCAAAATTTAGAATTTTAATATTTAAAATTAAAAATTTCAAACAAATACATCCATAATTTTGATGATTTTTTTTTTTTTAGTTTTTCTGTATTTTATATTTTTACTATAAATATATTATAACTCTATTTTACTTATATTTAAAAATATTTTAGATACTATTTAGTTATAATGATATTATTTTTTTGTTTTAGAAAAAAATCGTTTCTTTTTTTAAAAGATATTATATAAAATTATCTCATTTTTATTATTGCTATTTTTTTTAAAAAAAAAAAATTTAGAAACCAAAACATATATTTATGAAAGTATAAGATAAAAACATGTGAATCAGAGTAGTATTATTATGATCAATTTATTAAACATTATATTCATATAAAATCCAAACAATATGTATTTATAATTTTAAACTTTTTGTTATAGATCTTAAAAAATATTATATATATTATTATAGGAATATGTAATAATATTCATATAATACTATTTGTTACGTTCAATGACTAAATATAGAAAATATATATATATATAATATAGGGATATATATTGTATACAGTGGATATATAATATGAATGATGTGAAATCTGTATTAGGTAATATTACCGATGAGTGGGGAAAGTAACGGAGAGAAAATGAGATAGATTGAAGCAAATATTGTATTTAGTGCGGCTAAAAATACATTAGATTAAAAAATTCAATTTGAATTCGACACAAAATAATATGTTTTAATCTCAAAAATTTGTGCTTGAACTTCTAAAAATAAATTTGAAATTTTTTGGATTATGCTTTGCTCGGCACGTTAATGAATCCAGTCATACTTGGTCTGGCTCAATATATTAAAATTAATATTTGAAAATTAATATATTTATACATTGTATATTAAGTAATGAAATAATATATTCTTGTCACAAGCATACAAACACTAGTCACACTTGAACCAGATGAAATGCAAATGTTGTTAAAACTTTGGTTAATGAATTCTATTAACACAATAGTGTGTTACCACATTAATCATCTAATAAAAAGTGTTTGCTAAGACAATCCAATCTGCTAAATTAGCAAAACACAATATTCACCAAAATAGTACTTAGTATATATTACATTAATTTATTTATTTGTAGGATTTTGATTTTGAATAGTAAAATTTTGAATCGAAATAGTTATTTAATGTGATATAAATATGTCTCGATGTGATATTTTAAATATAAAATTAAATTTTAATATAATATAATAAATGGGAAGTAAGTATTTCATTTGATTTTTTTTTATAAAAAGTAAAAATAAAATAAAAACTAAAATAGTAAAACTAAAAGTAAACTCTTAATTTGTTAGAAATTCTGTAATATTATTCATGCTTCAACTTTAAATAAAGTAGCACATTTTTTTTTTAATTTATTATTATTATTATTATTATTTTATGTATATGGCCACATTGAATTTCTTTATTTTATTAGTACCATAAGAGAACACACAATAGTCGGTTGTTAAAAATGTCTCCATATGTGATGTTGTTTTAGCCTCATTCATCTACTTTATCTGATCAAAGTATCTCAACCAGTGCTTTATCTGAAAAGTATCTCAACCAGTGTTTTATCTGACTAAAGCATCTCAACCACTGTTTATCTGTTCAAAGCAACTCAATTAGTGTTTTTATCTGACTAAAGCATCTTAACCACTGTTTATCTGATCAAAGCAACTCAACCAGTGCTTTATCTGACTAAAGCATCTCAACCACTACTTTATCTGACTAAAGCTTCTCATCCATCTATTTTATTTAACCGTCTTATCCGTTTACTTTATCTGTCCAAAATGTCTTATCCATTTGCTTTATCTGATAAAAGCATCTAATCCACTACTTTATCTGACCAAAACATCTCATCCACCTATTTTATCTAATAAAAGCGTCTCATCCACTGCTTTATCTGACTAACAGTAGATGTTTTTTTTTTCTCTTGGCTGGAAGAAGCTACTGCATCAAGTTTGACCAAGTATCTTATATTTTTCTACTTTGAAAAATGAATTCACTATATATTATTTTATATTTTGGCTTGACAAAATTTTTTTATTGCAGACATGAATAACAACGATATGTTTGAGCTTAGTGTATGTGCTCTAATGTAATCCTTATTAGAGTAGTCCTCCAAGTAGACAATTATGCAAAATTAGTTCTCTAATGCCTTATAATAAATCGGGTGGTCCAAGTAGACAATCATGCAAAATTAGTTCTCTAATGCCTTATAACAAATCGGGTGGACTTGTGACCAAATCATTCGATAGGCTTTACTTTTATTACTCTTTGGATAAATTTTTTTTTTTAATTTTGTAATTGATCTATATTATTTTAGTGCAATAACCAAAAATGTATAAGCTTGGTCCTCTAATTGTAAGAATTAGACAAAAAATATATTTTATTAAAATTTTTTGTAAATAATTAAGTTCTTATTTTATATTTATTTTAATTATATATTACATTACAAATAATTTTTAATTAAATAAATTTTATCTAAATCTTAAATCCATCTGTTAACTCAATTTCTTTTATTATTTCAAAGGTTGTGTAAATATATGAATTTGAAAGTGGTTTTAGCTAATGTGAATTTAGTTCTAATCGAACAGTGACATCTGTATTAAAAAAATAATATTAATTTGTTTAATAATATTTTTTTATTATCTGTCATATTTAATTTAAAAAACATTTAAACTTACATACTAAACAAAGACACTCAATGCAAAAAAGAGCTGAAACTAACATGCTATATAAACACACTCAATAAATCTTTTATATAGTGTAAATAAAAAGTATTGACGTAATATTTTAAAATTCTTAATATATATTGAGATAGTGTTTTTTTTCTTTTATAATTTCTTTTGAATTTGAAAATTTAAATAAAAAATTAATTTAATATTTTTAAATTTTTCTTATTAAAAGACGTAAAGACGGTTAGAAAAAAAATAGAAAAAAACAAACACATTTTTTGATATATGAATATTATTCTATTCTAAGGATGTGTTACAACTCACAACATTAAATAATTAGTAAATTCATAAAATAAATAAAATTAAATTAATTGTGAATATAGAATTTTTTTTTTTATTTCAAATTAAAATTTATATAATTTAATTAGTACAGTTTTTAATAATAAATATATTATTTTTTTTATAAAATATTACATAAAAAATATTTAAATTAAAAACTTAAATTTAAATAAAAAATAAACATATACCAATATATATCATTTTAATTTGCATATTGATTTTTTTTGTTTAATAAAACAATTGTTTTGAATTGAAGCATGTATGATAAATATAATATTTGTTTTAAAATAAAAGTGAAAAATCACAACCATACAAACGCTAGTTGTTGCACTTGACCAAATGAAATGCAACGTTGTTTAAAATTTTGGTTAATAAATTCTGTTAGCATAATAGTGTGTTAAACATTAAACATCGAATAAAAAGTGTTTGCTAAGACAGTCCAATTTTCTAAATTAAAAAAAAAAAAAACAATATTCACCAAAATACTAGTATATATTATATTTAATTTATTTATTTGTAGGATATTAGTTTGAATAGTAAAATTTTATATCGAAATAATTGTTTAATGTTATGTAAATATGTGTGATGTGATATTTTAAATGTAAATATCAAATATTAATGTAATATAATAAATAAAATATAAATATTTAATTCGATTTTTTTTGTAAAAATAAAAATAAAAAATCTTAAATAGTAAAACCAAAATTTGTTTTTAGAAATTCTGGAATGTTATTCATATTTCAACTTTAAATAAAATACTAGTACGTTTAATTTCTTTATGTATGTCGCCACATTGAATTTTTTTATTTTATTAGTACCATAAGGGTACACACAATAGTCGGCTGTTAAGAGTGCCTTTATATGTGACTTGAGTCTCATCCACCTATTTTATCTGACTAAAGCGACTCATCAATCTATTTTATTTGATCAAAGCGTCCCATCCACAGTATTATCTGACAAAATCGTCTTGTCCACCTGTTTTATCTAACGAAAGCATCATATCCACCTGCTTTATCTGATCAAAGAGTCTCATCCATCTGTTTTATCTGACCAAAGCATTTTAAAAGAAATTAAATACAGTAGTTGTCTTTTTCTCTTTTGGCTGGAAGAAGCCACTGCACCAAGTCCAACTAAGTGTGTTCTATTTTCTACTTGAAAAATAAATCCATTGCATATTGTTTTATATTTTGGCTTGACAAGAAAATCTTGTTGCAAATATGAACGGAACGATACGTATTGAGTAATTCCTTAACTCGAAAATCGTATAAAATTAGTCATCTAATACCCTGTAAGAAATCGGGTGGACTTGTGACCAAATCACTCAATATAGGTTTTAATTCTATTAGACTTCGGATACATATATAGTACATTCACTTCTTGATATAGCTTCTTCTTCCAGAGGCGTTCCAAGGTCAAACAAAAAATCTTTGCATCACTCAATTGCTCGAATGACCTCTTTAACTCCCAACAGCGGCTCGATGGCCAACCCGAGCTCAACTTACTCAATATTCCAATAGAATACACAGTCTCTGTAAAAATCGAGTCGAAAACAAAATTAAATGTAACAAA